GAATATATGCTGTTGCTGATTACTTTTTGTTTAGAAATATAGAAGTTGTATTAATAACTCAGCAGCTGTGGTCACTTACAAAAAATAACCTAAAAAATAAAATAATTAAAAAAATAAATTAAAAACCCAGGAAAGATAATGGGTTTTTGGAACTATACTGTAATGTTTTTTTCACCTTCTGTCTGAATGTCATCTTTCTATAAAATATGAAAACGTCAGTGTGACATGTTAGGAGTATATTACAAAGTTAAATGTGTGTGATTAAAAGACAACCCTGACAAATTGTTTATGTAATTATTTTTTCTAGATGTCTGGATGTTTATTTGGCTAACAACAACAACCAAACTTCAGATGACCACACATCATTTCCTGGTCCATTCCAGTGTTGTTGGTAACACAGATCGGTAAGAAAGTATATTGAAGGCTTTTATTGCCAAGTTCTCTGTGTTTGTTCAGCTTCAGCAGGATTTATAATCTGTTATTAGATGTTTAGTCTGGTAGATTATCATATGTGATTCATTCTACAACCTAAAAAAAATATAACATTATATAGGTAAGTTGGTCTAGACGTATATAAAATAAAATTCAGTGTGTGGTAAATGTGTTGAATTAAAAATCTGGTTATGGTTTTAACTCCATTATACTGTATAATTGTTTCAGAGAAGTTGACTTTGGGGAAGGTCTGAGACACAGTGGATTCTGGGAGACTCCTATTCAGGCTTTGTAAAATAGGTCAGTCATAAACTATTTGTGTCGAGATGAAATTTTTTGGACTGAAACTGTTGTAGCTCTGATGTTCATCTTAACTGTAGGACAAAGGGAAATATTTGATGGTAAGTTTGTTGGTTTATTCAARGCAACAGATTTTAAACTGACAAACGGTGGGAGACAGAAATAAGAACCAAAGTTTGAGAACTTAAAGTGAAAAATGTTTCCTTTTATATAATGTAAACATTTATTCAGTACATAATAATTATCAGTAAATAATAAATTTTCTTTTACATAAAATAAAAGTAACGGGCTGCATGATACTGAAAAAAAAATGGCATTGCATTTTTACATCA